AATGGTGATCTAATCTTTTGACTTTCTGAAAATTCACAAATATAAGGCATTGACATATCGATCATATACTTAATATTTACATTACTGTTTTCTTAAAATAAATAGCGCATTCGCTTCGAATTATTTATTACGGAATTGCTCAAAAATTTAAGTTTTCGGTAAAAATGAGATCAATTTTTTTAATTTCATAAATGTTCAAACTACATTTTTCCAACCACCAAGACACCAAATTTTTGGATGAACATTTTTATTCGAATAAAGTTGCACTGAAGAGCCAAAAAAACTGGTACACCTACCTAATATCGTGCAGAAGTGCCGCAGCACGACGTGGCATGGACTCTACTAATGTCTGAAGCGGTGCTGGGAGTAATTGACACCAAGAATCCTGTAGGAGTATCCATAAACTCGTAAGAGTACAAGGCGGTGGAGATCTCTTCTAAACAGCAAGTTGCAAGGCATCCCAGATATGCTCAAAAAAGTTCGTGTCTGGGGATTTTGGTGGTCAGTGGAAGTGTTTTAATTTAGAAGAGTGTTCCTGGAGCCACTCCTGTAGCAAGTCTGGGCGTGTTGGATGGGCTGTCGCATTGTCCTAATGGAATTGCCCATGTATGTCGGGATGCACAATTGGCATTAATGGGTGAAGGTAATCGGACAGGATTCTTACGTGTCACCTGTCAGAGTAGAATCCAGACGTATCAGGGGTCCCATATCACTCTAACTGCACACCCCCATACCATCACAGAGCCTCCACCAGCGTGAACACACCCCTGTTGACATGCAGGGTTCATGGATCCATGAGGTTTTCGCCATACTAGTACACGTCCATCCGCTCGAAACAATGTGAAACCAAACTCGTCAGACCAGGCAACGTGTTTGCAAGTATCAACAGTTCAATGTCAGTGTTGATGGGCCCAGGCGAGGTGTGACGATTTGTGTTGTGTAGTCATCAAGGGTTCACGAGTAGAATTTCGGCTCCGATACCCTTTATCGATACTGTCTCATTGAATGATTTGAACGCTGACACTTGTTGATGGCCCAGCATTGAAATCTGTAGCAATTTGAGGAAGGGATGCACTTCAGTCTCTTATAATGATTCTCCTCAGTCGTCGTCGGTCCCGTTTCTGCACCATCTTTCTGCGGTCGCAGCGATGCCGGAGATTTGATGTTTTACCGGATTCCCGATATTCGCGGTACACTCGTGAAATGGTGGTATGGGAAAATCCAAATTTCATCGCGACCTTGAAAATGCTATGCCCCATCTCACTTGCGCTAACTATAACATCACATGGTAACCGTGAAAATATATCGTAAAACAAATTGTGATAACCGGCCATTGTATCAACAGTAACCGACCTAACAACTGTGCCAAATTATGGTTGTGTTATAAAGTCGTTGCCGACCGAAGCGCCCTATTCTTATTGGTTCCAGATCTCTTTATTTCAATACGCATGGCTCTACCAGTTTCTTTTGGCTCTTTAGTGTATTTTCTTCTGTAATATTCTTACAGACAGATCCAATTGTAGTTTTAGTCAACCGCCAAATTGAGAAAATGTGAAAAGAAATGTGCAGGTCTTTTGATAAAATACTATTTTCTCAATATACATAAATATTGCATAAATGTAGACAAAACCATCCCTCCTAATTTATACGTACTGTAATTATTATGTTCTACAACTTTTTGAAAAGTTTTCATTAATTTTGAGAAAATTGTTCCTTAAAGAATGTGATGCTAAAAATGTATTTTGTTTGCATTGTTTCTCTGAAGGCAGACAAATTAATCGATTCAATGCTGCAAAGCACAGAAGGACACTGATGCATTAGAAGATCAGCTTCATTTATATTATTAGTTTTATAAAATTATTAATATTTTTACATAACCGTCATGCGTTTAGAAATATTTTAGTCAAGTGATTCAGTCTCTTGAGATAGAATCACTAGGCAAGTGGACGCAAGTACTTGGACTCTAAGGTTGTGGACGCACATGAAAATTTATAGTCCGTGATGTGGATGGTATTCCGAGTCCATTCTGAATTACAACTTTACCCTAATTCTTCCAAAATTTCTTCACCTGACAAGCAACTGTATGTTCAATCTCTTTGTGTAATTGAGAAATTGAATCCGTTCACCCAGAACAATGGTACAAACACCCAGATGGTTCCAAGGAATACCATGAGCGAAAACGTAAAAGGGAAGGTCCGAGATAGGTCTATGGGATGCTTGTGAAATTCAAAGTTGCTCTTCACTGGGAATGTCCCCCAAAGAGTTCCGCGAGAGGCTCTCAAGTGCTGATTGATATACGGCAGCTGGCAAGATGGTGAGGAAAACCGAAAAGTTACCCAGACTCATGAGAATATGAAACTAACGAGTACAAAAAAGGCTGTGTCATTCTGTAGCACCACTATTTTTTTCTTTTCACACATGTATCGCAATGTATGGGCGAAAAGTATTAGAACCTCTTCAATAATGTATGTCTGTATGTATGGGTAGAGGTATATGCCAAGTATAACTTTGAGAGATTAGAATCAAGGCGAAACTTGGTTAACACGTCACGAGTAAGATCAAGTTGTGGCGTTCCGGAGGTCATTTAGATATTTTCCATCGGGGTGGAACTTCACACAACGCTCTTGTATCATTTTCAAAATTTTGTGAAAAATGGCAGAATGTTTTTCTTTTTTTGCTCGTATGGGGGATAGTTTATTTATTAATATAGTATGTACTTTCCATTTTCAATAAAGTTTCGTACATTTTCAGAATTCCGCAGGTTCAAATATTTTTGAACGTGTTCTCTATCTCCAGTATTAGAGTCAGACATTTTCTTCCTCAAAGCAATTTACTCGTATCTGTCATTTGTATATCTTTAAATGACGTCATGTACAATTATTTTTATAGCATTAGTAGTTGTTTAGTAATTGTGACGGAAATCCTGACATTTTCCCCAAACTATCAAAACAATCATTTTTGTGTTGGCATTCCTCCCTGTTCACGTGGGATAGCGTGGAGAGGGAGTACATTGGTACTTTCCGGTAGAGAGAAGAGTTGTCACCAGACGCACGTTTAGTATTCCTAACAAAGTCTATATTATGCTATTTATAATATTAACAGTTACCTCGAATCCCCACTAGTTTGTATCTGAAATTACTCACCCTAAAGAATATAAACCATGATTTAACCAAAATCGAGACATTTACATTTACGAATAGCGGGAGAGTTACTGACGATTGTGCGGCTTAAATTGTTACTGCCCCAGACCTTTCAACTATTTTGGATCCAGTTCTTTGTTGTTTTCTCGTATGGCACGTCTCATATGAAACTCACGACGTCATGAACAATGGTGTAAATGGTCGGTTGCTTAGTTCTGAATACACCCTGCTTGCCTACTTGGTGGGTGCCATTTTCATCTCTTTCCCTCCTGCATGAAATCAATAATCGCAATTTTCGAATTATGAGTAGAAAAATACCCTCCGTATCGTTCTTCACTCATAACTTAACACTTCTTTGCTAACTGTAACGACGTTTGAACGGAATTTACCTTGCCTCGTGGCCAATGCACTGGACGAGTGCAAGTGAAAAAACCTTCAATGCAAACAACACGATTCTTTGTCAATTGAGTTTGAATCGCGCATCTAGATATGATCTTCTGTGTGTGGTGAATGCATTATCGTATGTCATTTTTCATGTACATCGTTTGCGGATGCGTGACAGTAAGTTGAGGAGAGTTTATATGATTCGTTTTCCGTCTCTGTGGAAGCACCGAATGGATATATCGTTTAACAAGAGAGAGATGTGAGGCAATAGAGATTCACGGGATGATAAAAACAGAGGAAAGTGCTGAGAAAACTGAGAAAAGCTGAGAGAAGTGCGAGTCTAGACACCCATTAAAATTGGTTGTTAATATACAAAGCTTATTTAGAAATTAAGAGCCATTTTTACACATCTTCCGCGCATCTGACAGGACGCGATAGTTATATCCCTCCACATACGAGAAAGTAAAGTGGCGGAGCTTGAGATTAGCACGGGTATCATTTATGGTTGCCCGCGAGAGATTAATAGACAAATGTTTAAGCCCTTTTCGTTCCCGTATGACCCGCTACCCCCAACCACATAGTAAAGATTTTAGTTAATGCCCATGAGGCCTTGGAAGTTGAATACCCCTGATCTAAAGCATCTCGTCTTAGCTCCCGTCCTCGCGTGCGCCCTCGCCCACACCCACGCCCTTACCCTTGCCCTTGCCCGTGCCCTCGCCCTCTATCCCGCCCTCGCGCTCTCGCCTTTGCCCTCGCCCGCAGCTTCGCTCTCGCCCGCACACGCGCCCTCGTCATCGCCTTCGCCCACGCCCTCGACCTCGTCCTCTCCTTCGCCCACCCCTCGCCGCCTCCTCGCACACGCCCTCAAACGCGCACTCGCCCTCGCCCGTGCTCTCGCCCTCGCACTCGCCCTCGCCTTTGCTCGCACCCGCGCCCTCGTCCTCGTCATCGCCCACGCCCTCGATCACGTACTCTTTTTCGCCCACGCCTCACCCACGTCCTCGACGGCGCCCTCGCCCGCACCCACCACCTGCACGTGGCTGTGCCCTCGCCATCACCTGCGCCCACACCCATGTCCTCGCCCATCCTCGCGCCCTTTCAATCGCCCTCACCCTCGCCCTCGCCCACGCCCGCGCCCTCGCTCTCGCCCGCACACTCGCCCTCGCGTGTGCTCTCACCCGCGCCCTAGCCGTAGCTTTCGCCCTTGACCACGTCCTTTCCCTCGCCATCACCCGTGCCCTCGCCCGCGTCCTCTCCCTGAATGTGGCCGCGCCCTTGCTCGCGCCCTTGCCCGCCCCCTCGCCCTCGCCCTCGCCCCGCTCGGGCCCTCGCCCGTGCCGTCGCCCACGCCCTCGACCGCACCCGCGCCCGCGCCCTCGCTTGCGCCTGCGCCCTCTCCCTCACCCTTTCTTGCCCGCTTACACCCCCGGGCACGAGCGTTGACACACTAGAGAGGTTGCCATCGAGATAAGGCTGATGGCCTGCGGAGATTCAGACTTTTTGCGCTTGCTTTGCCTCGTGGAGGAGTGGCGTTACGTAAGGGGGCGCTATATAAAAGCGGTGCGGGCAGCCGCTCAGCACTACGCCATCACCGTCCCACCGTGGTCATGAAGTACCAAGTGTGCGTCCTCACCCTCGCCCTCGCTGTCGCTCTGGTGAGTTGCCCACACCACCCGCCGGACGCCTCTATTCATTAGCAGACTGTTTTTATTTTCTCGCCTTTCTCCATAAGAGGAAGTATTGTAAGAGGCAGCAAAGTGTCTAGTTGTCAATAGAAAAGTTCTTATTGTCAAGCCCAGGTAAGGAAGAAGGTGCATAAATCTTGTTCCAGTAAATTACTTCCTCTGACAAAATTTTACTTTATATTTGCCTGTTAATTTTCTTGATACTTATTTATTATCTCTGTGAAATAACTTTCAAAAACAATTGAATAACACACTGCATATGCTTTCTTTCGAATTAATTTTAATTACATATAACGTCGTGAATATTATTAAATGAAGAATTATTTGTAATAAAAATTATTATGAAAGATAGCTTAAGCAGTGAGTTATTCAACTGTCTTTGAAAATTGTTGTCCAGAGACAACATAACACCTCCTGGCACATGTTCCGTGGTAAGAATCCATGTCTTGTGGGTCCTTGATATAGAAAAATCGTTGGTCGGCGAATTGTCGGACTGTCCGTTTGTACGTTAGCGCCTAAACTGTTCAGTCATATTCACAGATCGATCCGAACGAGCTCAGAACCCTGCGAGTTTCAAATGGATATTTTGGTTTTTGGTGGGTACATAAAGTGATACCTGCCCACAATTTTCTCAAAAATGTCTCCAAACTTTTTGAGTAAACTTTGTTCTCAAATAGCGTAAAGAACTAAAAGATTGCGCGGGTCTTATTTTTGTTGAAATAACTGATTTTGAAATAACTGAACAACTACGGTATTGAAGGATGTGATTTTTTCTTAATAAAGTATGATCAAAATCAGAGCTTGAAATAAGGACACGTACAATTTTTTGAAAATATGATTCGTTTTCACGTAATTTTACGTGAAAAATAGATTTTTTACGAACATTTTCTAAAAACTTTTTTATTAAAAAATATTCTCTAACTTTTTTATTAAAAAATATTCTCTTTGTATGTATAATATAGTGTACAAAAGCGGGTCCATTTTCGACGAATTCTGCGCGTTTTCGAAAAATACAAAAAGGTAACGTTGCAAAAGTACAATATTGAAATGAAATCTGTTTTAAATTTTGTTTTCAAAAAGGAGTAGTTTTGCTTAACTTCTGCTTGAAATTAATGCAAATTGTAAAAAAAATTTCTAAAAATTGCTGCAAATTGTTTCTTTCAGTTTTCACTGATAAAGGATGCATAAAAAGAGGTACATGTTTTATTTTCTTTTAACTCTCTTAATTTTCGAAAATATTACAAAATGTATAAATAATGTGAGGACGTACGTGTTATTGTAGTACCACTAGCTTTACAATGAAACAATTCTTATTGTTTATATCAATAATTATGTAAATATATATTTTCAAATAAACATTTGTTAAATTTTTCAATTAAAATTTCGTTTAGCAAAGTCAGAGAACGCAAAAAAGTCTTAAAAAGAGAAAAATCGTCTTTCGTAATGAAAAAATATATGCAATTTTAAAATTTTGTAAACATTTTTCTCTCAAAAACGACACCATTTTTTTAAATTAAATTTTGACCTAGGATAGCTTGAAAGATGTTTAAGAGATGGGGGCAGGACTCATGTTCATCAAAATTCCTGATTTTTCGAAAACTTTATAAATATGTCTTTGAACAACTACAATTATGATGAAAATAAATTTATTTCTTACTGAATTGCGTTAATTAGAAATATTTCTTGAAATAAGGCCATGTCACGTGTTTGAAATCAAGAGCTCATTTTGCTTCAAACATTGGCAATTTTTAAATTTTGAACAATTATTTTCTCACACTCGGCCTCTCTGATTAGAAAGCAGACAAATTTTAGACACATAAGTGTTATTTAAGTAAAAAGGAAATGGCAAATCAAGTATTATAATAATCGTTAACGTATTATAATGAGCTTAAATTTCGTTTTTTTATCCGATACATTTAGCAGCGTTGAAAACTTTTGTAGTTTTTGTCACAAGTTTTTATGTTTATTCCAATTTACACAATGTGAAAGAACAAACTATAAGTATGTAATATTTAACTGACTTATCTACAAATTCGTTTATAATAGTATTCGTTCATTTACTGTTTCATATTATTTTAACTTTCTCAAAAACAAATGTATGAAGTTGGACAGTTTCCGAAGGCAAGTTGGAGGTTTTTGAAGGCGGATTAGAGTGTCGCCCGGTTGAGTGTCGTCTTCTCTGTCGAGTTTCCCCACCCTTATATTATCCATAGAAGGTGCTGAAAGTGGTGTCCATATGTTTGAATGCTTTCTTGGCTCCATAACATATTTTGATTTTTTCTTTGAAGCAAATCATGAGAAATTTCAGCGTTTATATCTTCATAAGTGCGCCAGAGCATTTCCTCTGGATGAGGGCTATCAAGCGCATCCTTTGCCTTTCAAGCATTGCAAAGAAAAAAATCACCAGGGGTTAGATCAGGTAATCTGGAGTGCCATGGCAAACGGCTAAATCATTATTATATTATCATCATTACATACAGTAATTAAAAGTTCGAGAATGGAACGACAGACTGAGAATTTGCCAACTCCTAAGAAAAATAAGAGGCTTACCCCTGGTTTCAACTAATCAAACAGTAACTTCGAGCTTGTCATAAGAGTGGCGCTCTGATCTAAAGAAAATTGCATCCCTTCTGCTCTGTTCGTATACTCTTGGGATACAGAGTTATCGGTATGACGGTCTCCTGAATGACACGCCGTCCGCAGAATGGCGGCATCAGGTTGCACAATTCCCGGCCTGCGTACGCTCGCTTCGCTGCGGCAGCGCTCGTTATACGCGAAAGTTAAATTGTCAACCCTTTACTTTCTTAAATGAATGTCCACCGTCCTTTTGATAGGGTTTATAACCGGAAGAAGCTGACTTGTTTTGACCTGAATGAGCACTGAAATTAATTTGAAACTAGTGGAGCTAAAAAAGTACATACTTTCTCGCCCGAGATTTCACGCAACATTAGACGAAATTTGCTCAAATTTTGGAAAAATTGTACGTGGCCTTATTTCAAAATATGTCTTTAAGGAAAAGATTTCATTAAGAGAACAATCTCCATCTTCATAATTGTAGTTGTTGGAAGGAGCAGAAAAAAGTTAATATTTGGAATTTTCGAAAATCATATATTTCAACGAAAATAAGACCTGCACCATTCTCTTAAACGTCATTTACACTATCCAACAACAAAATTTAATAAAGCACGATAGAGCAATTTTTTAAAACTTTTTGGAAAGGTCCCAGGGGTATCATGTGAAGAACCCCCCAAAAATATCGGTTTCGAATTCAAGGGGGCGTGAAATCAGCCAGATCGATTGGGAAATTTCAACCTTGGAGAAAATGGGCTAAACGGTTTACCCGCTAGCGTTGTTTACAGACGAACGGACAGACAGACTTTTGCCATCATTCAATTTTTCATTATCAAGGACCAACAAATCATGGGTTCTGGCTTCACCCCGTATAAGAGAATCCCCCCCCCCCACCATTTAGCGACTGTATTTATCCACTTTTCATTACCAGGGCCTAAAATAAGAGTATTTATTCCAAAAATTCGCCGTTTTTCAGGGAGAATTACAGAACGTTCTCTCTACTGCGTAAGCGGTTGTCAGAAAGTAAAAATAAATTACATGTTCGTAAATGAATAAAAAATATAGTAATATCTCCAGACTTAATAGAATCCCTCTATAGAGCACGTGTATTTGTTGTTGCTTGATCGAACAATAATCTTCTTGTTTCTGATTGCAGGTAGCCGGCGCTCCAAAACCACAAGGTCAGTAAGGCAACTGTATTAAACGTTGCTGAATCTAAATATCCTTACACCTATTCAAAAATCAGACTCGTGTTGATATATTGCGCAACTTTACAGTTAACTTTAACTTTATTTAATGTGGTGTAATTATTGTTTCTAGAAATCATTGGAGTATTACACGTTTTTAGAGATAAGTTTACAATAAAATAACGTTTAAACCTTACTGATGTTTACAGCACAAACTGAAGACAATTTTCGGGACTTAACATCATTTTTCGTATAATTTTACTATTTTATTTTAAACACATACGCTTGCATTGTATGTCAGTACAAATATATCGTTCTATTACTTTTATCAAAATTAACTCTTTCTTTTCCTAATTTTGCAGATCCACCAAATGAAGGAGACGTGAAGGCACTCCACAGGGTAAGTCTGTTTTCTTACTATGAGTCACATTTACAATAACCACAGAAATTCCTTAAATTTCACTATGCTATTTAAAAAGTAATTATTTCAAAACTTAGATTAGGTTGTCGGGAATACATACAAGTAATATACAAAGAAGATTTGAAATGCTGAGTAACTCGGAGGTTACAAGGGGTTAAAATTGGTAAAGGTATTTTTGCGATACAAAGACTTACAAACATTTCTTTGCAGAGCCTGAGATACCCGCAGTCTCAGAACAATGTTCCCCAAGAACCACCAAGCACTCTCCACAGGGAGAGATTTATTCATTTTGTTTATTCTAATTTCAGAATTCATTGCTATAACTTAGAAGAAAATAAAAAAAATTAAAAAAATAGCTTAGGCTGTCAGTAGTTAATACTTGCAATATCCAAAAAAACTGAATTACTGAGGAGTTACTAGGAATCAAATTGGTATCTTTATTTCTGCGATACAATGTCTTGTATCCATTCTTTTGCAGAGTCTGAGATCCCCCCAGTCTCAAGATGATGTTCCCCAAGAACCACCAAGCTCTCTCCACAGGGTGAGATTTATTCATATTGTTTACCCAATTTCACAATTCATTGATATAACTTGGAAGAAAATAAAAAAATAACTTAGGCTGTCAGTAGTTAAGAACTGAAATATCCAAAGAATATCTGAATTACTGAGAAGTTACTAGAAATTAAATTGGTATCTTTATTTCTGCGATACAATGTCTTGCATCCATTCTTTTACAGAGTCTGAGATCCCCACAGTCTCAGGATGATGTTCCCCAAGAACCACCAAGCTCTCTCCACAGGGTGAGATTTATTCGTGTTATTTATCAAAATTCCGAAATCATTAGAAGTAAATTTGTCGAAATAGTTATAGTAAACATTAGATTTCGATGTTGGTAATATACATCAGTAAAACACAAAGAATACCGAAAATACTCAGTAAATCGGAACCCGAAATTAGAAACTTCGATACAATGTCTTTTATCTATTCTTTTGCAGAGTCTGAGATCCCCACAGTCTAAGGATGATGTTCCCCAGGAACCACCGAGCTCTCTCCACAGGGTGAGATTTATTCATGTTATTTATTCAAATTTTAGAATTCATTAGAAAAAAAATTGACAAAATATTTTTTTTTAAATTAGATTTCGATGTCTGTAACACATATCAGTAATACACAGAAACGTGTCAGCAACAAACGGAGGTGACTTATCCGGTGACAGAATCCATTTACCCTTATAGCCATTATAGCCAGGGGGTGATTGTTATTATTATTCTAAGAACATGGTGCCAATAAAGATTTTTCGGATAGAGCATCTCCATAGGCAATAATCAATTAAAACCGACCACGTTGCTATAAAATGTGGTGTCATTGGACCAACATCTGGCGGTAGAATTCGGTAGTTTTCACACCGCGCAATTCGGTTTCGCTGTTTGAGTGATTGAGAGAAGGGACGTCAGTCGCTCTTGCACGTTTGTTCAGGACGTCGACGCCGCGCTAGCGCTAGATGCAATTGTGTGCTTGGGAACTCGAGATATGCGGAGGCCGAGGTTTTAAATATCCATGGCCGCGAAGCGCACTACTGGGGCTGAATTGTGAATTCATATTCAACTAAATCCACTATTAATTAGTAAAATTAACCACAAATACAAATTTATTATGAAGAACTGATCATAGTACAAAATTATTTTGTAAAAACAGATAAATGAGGAAGGGAAATAATATAAATGCGACCGATAGTGTAAGAGAATTCTGAAGGGATAACACTATGTTCCCTGCTTTCGCAGCACAAAATGGCAGATGCTCATATGATATGCTGCGCGCTCGTACGTGACATTTCTGAGAATAGAGGGGATCTAATCTTCGTCTGTGGTCCTTCTACACACGCTGTTGGATCCCGAAAATGTAGTGTATTTAAATAACTATTGCAAATGACAGGGACTACATTCAATTCTTTCAGGGGGCGCAGGGACCGGCGGCAAAATTTGCAAATAGCTCAAAATGTTACTTGGTGGCCCCTTTCAGAGTTTCTCTAAAATCATTTCGCTTTTTCCTAGAAGGCAGCGGTTTCAGAATCTTTAGAGTAAATGAAATTTTAAACGGAAAATACTTAAATTTAGTATTAATAAAATCAAATTGTGTCCTACGATTCATTATAAAAGATCATTAATACGGAAGTTTCATTTCGTTCCGTTGTTTTGACCTCTAGTATTTCATAAATGCTTGCTTCCATTCGTGCACGGAAAATGCAACCTTTGTTACTAGAATGTCGAAGGGGTTATCCTCCCATGATTGGTTACAAGATCTAGGCACTGTCGCTCAGTATGCAACGCAAGTAAAAAGCATACCTTTTCTTCCAAGTGTACGTAGAAAGGAGAAAATTATGCAATTCTACAAAAAAAAGTCAAAGATTTATTTCATTTCATTCATTCGTTATTTATATACTAGTAGTAAACGTGGCATTTTATTTTGCGAGTAGGAAAGGTTGAGATTCGATACCGGTTATGATCATATCATATCATATCACAATATCCTAGTCCTACATTTGAAATGACTAATACGTGAAGTTTCGAAATACCACGCATCCCTTCATGTTAAATTTATGTTGAGATGCTAGCTATGATGGTTGGGGTTCTATACAAATACGTGAATTCCATGACTCATCTCCTGTAATTTGTACAAATACTCATCACTAATAAATGGAGTTTTCGTAAAGGAGCTGAACCTTCTGTTTTAGCAGGTCAGGACTTTTTTTGTAGAGTGGATATTAGATGTTCAAAAAATGACAGTTTGCTACCATTGTAAAAGTGAAGTGTAAACAGTTTTGCAAGAGATGGCTGAAGTAATAGTTTTATAGAAGTTTCAATCATTAGAACTTAACGTTTCACCCACAAATACTAGGAAGATTGTACCATGTTGCAGCTCCACTAATATCTGACCGTTTGTGTTAGTGATGGTACTGAGGGCGCGTGTGTTGTGTGTGGCAGGAGGTGCGACAGGCGCCTCCGGGCATGCAGGAGGGGCAAACCGCGGCGGAGGACGCCTTTAGGCAGATGGCGGAGGAGGGCCAAGCAGGCATGGAGCAGGCGCAGTAGGGCGCCGATCAGGGACAGGCCCAGGCGAGCGGCTAAGCCCCTCCCCGACAGCCGGAATTCGGACTCGTCGCCTTCGCACTCTGCGCCAAGCGCACTGTACCAGACCAAGCTCAATAAAGAACAGCCTGAACATTGTGTATATTCACATTTCTTATTGTTATTAGCGCAGTACACAAAGAGAACGCTCTCCACTGAGAATTGGATAATATAAGACAGATGTGAGACGGATTCCAATTTCTCTCAAACTCAAATTCGAGATGTTTCTAGAAATCCCGAGTGGTATTTGCATATGTGGGATGAACCGATCGATTTTATAGGTGAAATCTACCCTTAAAAGTATGGGTTGTACATAATGTATTAGTTTTTACACCATCATATTCGTTGTATTTTAATGAATCCAACTGCATGAAACAAAAAAGAGTACGCATTACATGAGTGTCATCGCTAGGACGCATCCCCTCCCAATAGTTTTGGCCAATGGGGTACATTTGAGGGTCTCCCCGCAAACTCTTTATTTTCTTTCAAATCGTCCCTTCCCCCAATAATTTTGTACTGATGGTGCCTATGTTTACATGTGCTCTCTCTGCAGCCTAAAAGATACGACAAACCTCCCAATCAAGTATCGTGGCACTGCTCTTGATCTCTTGAGTGACATTGGGTGTAAAGGGACAATAACACACAGCTATTATCCTTAAAAGACATTCACTAGTTTTTCCGTGTGAAAACTCCGCAAGTCAGCAAATAATGCAACGGGAGATGACGGGAGTGATCTGTGCTATGTTGTAGCCCACTGAACAAATGATGAAATGGCCCTTTGCTTCAGAACACTTATTGTAGATGAATTGTTTTTTGACATTAAAAAAGACATCCATTGTGCGAGGATAAAATTTCACGGTTTAAGCCAGGAAGCATGTTCCGGCTTCCCTCCATCGTTGCCTTGGGCGAACAGGATCTCGTTTTTCTGCTGGTCAGTAATCGTAGGTCACTTTTGTGACCCTATCAACTTCTACCCTATGTGGGTGATGTATTCACGCAGAAAGATTCTCCTTTATATTGGCTAATATGGGAAAAAATATGAGATCTTTTCGGATGTTTTCGTTTCTGAAGTGATCAAAGAGACTACACCTTTTTACAGGTCTTATTTTCTCATTTTTGCTCAAATCTCATTTTGGAGGCTAATATATTACTACTTTTCTTTCCAACCGATACCCACATATCACTTCTTGTCTTCGGCGAGAGTGTCCGTTTTATTGTGTCCTATATTTGATGGAACATAAGGAGTTTAATTTTGATATCGTTCTCATAAGAGTAGCTCACGTCGCAGCCACGGTATTTAAAATTTTCATTGGAAAGTCATTCCTTTTTCAGAGAGATTTTAAGGGTATTATCTTCCAAGATATTACTCAATACATGAGCATTTTCCACTCCCTAGGAGCATCGTCTAAATATATTAAAAGGCATTGAGGACAAACTGCACCCCCGCGTACTCCTTGATTTAGTATAGTATATTCTTTAACGAGCCCATAATGAAAGCTATTATTCACGATTTGATGTTTACGACACGAGCGACGTAGGAGCGAGTTTCGTAATTCCTTCGAGTGAATAATAGCCATTAAGCCACAGTAGAAGTATACTTTCTCTATGACCTTGACATTTTCAGAATAAATTTGTAATAGATTTTTTGTTATTTACGATAGTTAACACGCGCTTAGCTCCTTACCAACCAACCATCCAACGCTTTAAGAGCGCGTCCATAGTAAAGGCCGTTAAAATGCTCGATAGTCCATTACAAATATTTTTACTTTCTCGTATACGTACGTATAAGTACATATACGTACTTATGCTTTAAATAATGTCAAATAAAGTTTCTCGAAAACTAATCAGTTTTCTATGAAAACTAGCTTAAAATTCTGCATTTTCAGAAACACTCAAACGCCATTTTCTCAAAAACGGCTCCAATTTTTTCAAACATTTTGAACGGATAGTGCTAACTTAGTAGTGCTAAAATCACTCTTTAGCATGACATGTTTATTACAAGATCTTTTTTATTTTTTCAAAAATTACACAAATGTAATTTTTTTGAAAGATGTCTCACGCCGTTAGTATGCACATATCCAGCAATTTGTCAGAACTATTGTATTTTTGAGTTAATGTGCTTCAAATGACTTCTAATGAAGTTTTTCGAAAACTCAAAAATTGTCTGTAAAAAAGAGCTTCAAATTTCGAATTTAAAGAAGTGCTTAAATGCCATTTTCTGAAAAACGTCTCCAAATGTTTGAAAGAAAATTGCCATTTAGGAGGCGGTTTTCTATTCTTTAATGTCTTATTTATTTCTTCATTCCATATTCTGAGCCTTATCTTTCTTCCACACATCTTCTCTTTACCAAGGCTTCACTTCCACCTTGTCCAAGACATTTCTCATGTTATTCCATTCGTCTTCACGTCTATTCACATCATCCGATGTGGAAGTGATAGGTAAGAGGTCATCTAGCCTAGTTTGGAATAGCCTCTTTATACTTCGATCACTGAGGAGTTTATGGCGGGGTGTATCCACAATAGGTTTCATATTTTGACCCCTCTCTTCCACGGAGCCACCAGGGGAACTTTCGAGACAACTAAAAAACGATCCCAACTGATGTCACATTGTCTATAGACATGTACATCTTTAATTAACGGAATAATTTTCCTATCTGAAGTAATGTAGTAAATAATAGTTCTTGAACCAAGATAATTTAGACCAAGATAGACAGGCTAAACCAAGATAATTTATCCTTACTTTTCTTCCGGAAAAATGATTGACATTTTTTCAAGGTACAAAAAAGTCTCATCGAATTTCCATTTGAATTGAGCTGTTACCCATTCGAGCATTCAGATATCTGCAGAGAATAATATAATCCATTTCATTTACATTATTCGGAAATTTTTGCAGTTTTTCATAGAATAGATGGCTTTTCTCTTTCGTAATTCCTTCTGGGGCATACAGTTCATTAACAGTCAAACGTTCCTTGTCATTCAATCTCTTTGTTACAATTCTCTCATTGGTCCATTTACACTGAAGATCCAAAAAACTGGTATACCTACCTAATATCGTGTAGGGCTCCCGCGGGCGCTCAGAAGTGCCGCAACACAGCGTCGCATGGGCTCGACTAAGGTCTGAAGTAGTGCTGAAAATGATTGACACTATGAATCCTGCAGGGGAATCCATGAACTCGTAAGAGTACCAGAGGGTGGAGATCTTTTCTGAACAGCAAGTTGTAAGGCATCCCAGATATGCTCAATAAAGTTTATGTCTGGGGATTTTGGTGGCCAATGGAATTGTTTAATTTTAGAAGAGTGATACTGGAGCCACTCTGTTGCAATTCTGGACGTGTGGGTAGTCGCATTGTCCTCCTGGAATTGCCTAAATCCGTCGGGATGCATGATGGACATGAATATGTGCAGGTGATTAGACAGAATGCTTCTGTACATGTCACCAGTCAGAGTCGTATCTAGACGTATTAGGGGTTCCATATCACTCCAAGGGTTCCACACTCCCCGTACCATCGCCGAGCCTCCACCAGCTTGAACAGTCTCCTGTTGATACGTAGGTTCCATGGATTTATGAGGCTCTCTCATGCACACGTACAGCCGATCTCTCATGTACACGTACACGTCCATCCGCTCGATCATCAGTCATCAACAGCCCGATGTCACTGTTGACGGTTCAAGGTGAGGCGTGAATCTTTGTGTCGTGCAGTCATCAAGGGTTCACGAGTGGTATTTGTATTTTCTTTCTCCACAAAAGTCTTTAAATTACTTCCATACACTTTCTTCGTTTCCTTTGCTGTTTTCGGCACTGAATCTTTAATAATATATTCTATTTCAGAGTTTTAAACATTACCAAAACGACACATTTTAATATTGATGCTGACAAGCTTTTACCCACCGAGAAATATCCCTACATTCCCGAATGAGCGACACAAATTGCAGAAACTAATCACGACATCCAGCCCGCAAGATCTTAATGTTTTACTTTCTCGCCACTACTTATGCAGAAATGGGAAACTTATGTAATGCAGCGGAGGTAGGGGTGCTGTGTAGCCCCAGTTTTAAACTGTACTGTACGTATACTTCTATTAGTCGTTCACCATTTCCATTTATCACTTCCTCCCCGTTTTCTTCCTGCAACTTCGTCTTCTGCAAGCCTTCCAACTCTATTGTTAAAATCTCCCACTAAAATATATATCCTTCCGGTCTGATATCCCATCCACGACCGTCGTCAGTTGATAAAAAACTTATCTTTTTGGATTTCGGTAGCATATTCATTTGGGGCATATATACTTATAACTATCGTTTTAATACCTATAATTTTAAAATCAATTTTTAAAATATTCTCCCTCTCACATGACCAACTCCTAATGTTCGTATATATTTCTTTAATATAGCAATGGAAATTCCTTTCTTAGCTCTAAACTCTTTGTTGACACCACTATATTTTACCACTGTATACACCACTATCTTTTTCCTTTCTTCAAAGACTTCCATTACTTCCATGTTAAGACCCTGTACACTCCAAGTGTCTACATTCATATGCCGTTTTCGTTAGCCAAGTCGTTTCCTGGACAATCCTGCTTCATTACTGAGATATTTAGCGTTTGTGTTCTTTTACGGTTGTAGGGGGGTTGGCCCTACGCCCTAACCCCCAACCTGGAAGACAGGAGATTTATTTTTTCCTACACAAGCTGGCTTCCCTCTCGCCTTCACAGCCTTGTCTGCACTTTTCGTTAGGAAAATCAAGAAAGTAAAGCGTGAGAGAAGAAGAAGATGAAGAAGAAACAAGAGTTGATTACAAGAGAAAAGGGAAAGAAAAAAGTGAAAGACACCCTAGCCCTCCAAACCTAATAGCGCCGGAGTAGAAATACCACAAGGGACCTAGAGAGGCCTTACAGTAGTGTGGTACAAGTAAGAGGAAAGAATACCACATTAGACAGGGATACCATTCTTAAGAAAGTGCCGCAGGTGGGGGAGGGGGAGAAAACTGATACACTAGAGCCTGGAAATTAGGAGAGGCGAGGAATCTGATTGGCGGGACGTTGTGAGACAACCCTTTGCCTGACTCCTCCGCCGAGACCTGTACAGCATGGGTG